TCCTATCTACCACTAGGCTCAGTAGGTTATCACCAAAAAAATCCTAATCTCAACTCCGATTTTCTCAGGTGTTTAAATACATATTTGCAGCTGTATCCTACAGATAAATAGTTTAAAAATCATATATTTAAATCTGTTCTTTTTTTTTAGTTTTTTTTTAGATTGTCTTTCACAATGGACGTACAGTGATAATTTTAGACGGAGAACTTGCAAAATATCAGAGTGTTAAAATACTTATTTTCCTCTCTGTGTATGTATGGGTATATATATATATATATATATATATATATATATATATATATGATGAGCGGTGTAAATAATAGTTTTGTATCGATGCAACAGCTGACGATCTGATGCATTGAAACGTCCACAAGAGTATCGATTCATGTTTTTTTTCCCCTCCGGTATATTTTTATCCATTTGCTCCTGGGCGTAATTCTCACTCCTGTGCTGCAGTGGCGCTCTCCTACCTCGCTTCCTGGTTATACTCTTGCAGCAGTGTGTCTCAGTGAGCTTGACAGAGACATTTTTGATTTATGCCCAATATTGAAGCGTGATATACGCTGTGGGTCTAGATACGGCCGAGGCGGAGAGGAAGTGGGTGCAAGTTTGTCTGACAATGGAGGGACATGACGGTGAAAAATAGCGGGGATCCAGGTGGGAAAAGGGTTCCAGTTTTCTTGTGCACCTCACTCTACTAGCTGGTGCATCTTCACGAGTTGTTTTCTGCAATTTCGGTCATAAAAACAAAACAAGCCGGCCTCCTGTCTGCGGCACTGTCTGCAATCAGATAGATTTTGGGAGAGGTGCAGCGGAGTTTCTGTGGAGGGGGCGGGGACGTCGACGCTCTGGAGCCGAGGTATTGAATTGCTCTCATTGCACTGATTTTGTGCAGTATTTTTTGATGCAAAGCCTTTAAGAATCTATAACTCAGTGGCATGATTATTTTTCAGTGAATGAGGTTTTAATAGGCCTAGGTGGAGTACAACTTTTCTACTTCTGTTATTTGCGGTTGTTTCTCAAATAAAATGCATAATGATATTACAGCTTTCATTGATTTATTTCAAATTTGAAACATTGTCTAGCCTGTACGTAAAAAAAAAAAAAAAAAAAAAATGAACCAATTAATCGAATCTTATCGTGGTGAGTATCAAAAATAATCAAAACGTTGGGTCAGGACATAGATACTGAATCAAATTGCCATGATGGGTGTGATTTACACTACTAATATATATATATATAATCAATACATATAAGCTTCATAGTGTGATTATGTAATGGGTGTTCCCCATCTTGAATTATTACAATTAAGCTGCAAATCATGAATGACGAAAATGTGAGGATGTTTTGTATTTATAAAAAAACAGCACTAGCCTTGTACAGCCACGTTATTTCTCCAAAAAAGTTTTTTATTTTTTAATTTAGAAGACTCTTTTTCCTTTTTTTTACAATTCTCTGTGTCCCTTTTTAAAGGCTCATGGAACCTTACCTGTACAACTCCAGTTTAGACTATGATATCCTTGATCTGGACAAAACGGAGGAGCACCTTCGGCTGGCTCTGAACGTCACGGCACAAACGGCGTACCGGGGCGGCATCATCCTCTTCGTCAGCCGCCGCCGCCAGTTCTGCCACCTGGTGGAGACCACAGCCAAGGAGTGTGGGGAGTACGCGCACACACGGTACTGGCAGGGGGGCCTCCTTACCAACGCTCACATCCAGTACGGCCAAGGGGTGCGCTTGCCCGACCTCATCATCTTTCTCTCCACTCTGAACAACGTGTTCCAGCAGCATGTGGCCATCAGAGACGCTGCCAAGATGAACATTCCCACAATAGGAGTGGTGGACTCAAACTGTAACCCCAGCTCGATTACATACCCGGTACCAGGAAACGATGACACTCCGGTTGCCATGGAGCTCTACTGCCGCTTGTTCAAGATGAGCATCAACAGAGCCAAGGACAAACGGAGACAGATGGAGCTCCTTCAGGGCCTGTCTGAACCCTCATCATCCAGCTCATAATAAGATGCCACCAAGAGATGTTGTTTAAAACACTGCAGCTATAGTTGGACTTTATCCTCTGTTGCAAATCATTTGGGTTTAAAGAGAACTCTGTATATGGCTCATTAAAAATAAATCTTGTTACTTTAAAAAGAGCTCTTTTATTAATATTTTACATAAGACATCTATATATCTATATATATATATTTTTTTTTTCTCTCAGTGCTTCAGTTATTGGTGTTTAGTTTTATTAGAGAACAAATACCAGGTGACATTACAGTAACAGTTAATATAAGGGAGGGAAAAAAAGTATTTTGCGGTGAAGTTTATAAACTAAGTATTGTTTGGAGTGATTAAGATACAAATATGGAAATAAATAAATATTGTTGTGTGGTTCTGTTACAGCTCTTAATTGAGCAGATGAGGTCTAATTTACAAAAACCCTTTTTAAAACTAGTTTCTTGAAATTATTTTGAGCTATGATGATTTTTAGGCAAGAGTTTTTTTTCCAAGTTTGGTAAGTAGGCGGCATAAGAGCCAACTCCTGGTTTTCAGGGATTTAGGGATGGAATTAAGGAGTAGTTTGATCAAGTTGAGAGATGTTCAGTGAAGAAACTCGGGACTAAAGATGAGGCTTTCAATTCTGAAAAACAACATCCACGCACGATGATGGCAGTGTGAGATTTTATGCATTTCTGTATAAAAAGAAACATGCAGCTCGATTTGAGATCAATAGATAAGAAATTGAAACTTGGAAATATTCGTAGCTTCTGCATACTTTCTCAGTTTTGTGGATGAAGGACTTTTAACCCTGGAATTTCTCTCACCTCTATGTGATAAAAAGATGATCTGTGCTTTCAAAACTAGGCTTTACTTTCATATAGAAATTACTCTGGGATAACTGCTGCTTAGTTGTTTTTTTTTTTTGTCTTCTTAATGAAGCCTGTCACTGGAAAATAATTGCTTAAATTTAGCCTTGTTTTGCTGGAGTTTTCTTTCCTCTTAAAGGTTAAGGGATTCATCTTATTCCAAGACGTTGCAGACAGCAGACAAATTTCCAGGAGGAGTGATTGCAGCAAATCAATGACTTAACAACCTGGGTTTCCTTAATTAAAAGAATTTTTAGAATGGATTTAATAAGTAGAATTGAGAGCATTGTTTATAAGCTTCTTTAGGAAGAGATGAATTGATTTATCTCTGTGTATGTCTGCAGTTTAATGACCTGATTTCAGTAACACTGCAGACACTTATATAACATAAAAATACACAGCAAAAGGGATAGTTTTATGATTTAAGGTAAGGAATTCCTCCATCTCTGTTTAAAGTAACAGTTTAAGATGTTGGCTTAATCAAGATGTAAATATTTAATCCCAAATTCATTTGTTTTTTTTTATAATCAGCCTTTTCCATTTAAAACAATTTGTTTTTTTGCTAGTTCATAATTACAACATAAGCGTAAATATGTAATTTATTTACAGTACCTCATTTCTGATCATTACTCCAAATTTAAGAGTTTGATTACTCAAAGTGCAACTAACTTTAAGCTTTATTCATGCTTGTTCTGTTCCATTAACATTATACCAACATGTTTCCATTTACTTTCCTTTATTAGAATAAAATGTCATTGATTTATGTCAGTTTTTAAATATAAGTACAAACTGCAACCTAGCGCGGGATTTTACACTTTTTTGGTTGCTTCCGGCTTCCGTAGTTAGTAAGACTCTCCTGCAGACACCAGGGGGAAGGATGGCGTGGTGAGTTCGCTCAATAAACGTGGTTGTAAAATAAAATGAACTTTGTGGTTTAGTGGTTTTAACAATCGCAGTTTTGCATGCGACACTTTAATCACGTCACTTGCAGGAATAAGCTTAAATACCAACTTTAGACCTGAACACGCTCCTATAAAAGCACGAGAGAATCTTATATTTGCAGTTTGCATTTAGCTGTTTAATATGTTTATAAGTTCTCGGGTTTGATTTACATAGGAAGGTTAACAGTCGATGCTTTATGCATTATTTAGTTTTCTGATAAAATCGGTCAGCTGTTGCCAACCACGTGGTCAACAGGTTGTTTATCCTGTTCCCTTTTATGTGAACTTTATACCTTTTTTAAATATATATATAACGATATATATAAGCCACCTAAAAATGTTGACTCATCCCAGCTGGTAGATTGTTGCATTATTTAGCAGCAGTGTGTGCGATCACTTGTAGGCCTCATGAGGCTGCTAACTGTGCTAATTATAGATCTATGTGAACAGATATATGCAAAGAAGTTCCACCCTGTGCCTCTAAAATAGAGGAAATGAAACTCTCCCCAGTGTTTATCAGAGATCTCTATAAAATATTTCCATTTTCTAGCTGCATGTTCTCCTTTTACATAATGTGACAACGATTAAGTAATTAATCCAAAGGGATGAAATAGAAAATCATGTCTAGATTACATTACAAAACTGTCTTCATGAAAACAGGAAAAGCATGACCTTTCACACCAGTAACAGGTTCATAATGAGTTAGTATCTCTTCCATTGTAGTGATTTTTATATGTGTGTATATAGATATGTTATAGAAAAGCAAACCATCATATGTAACTAGTTGAAAAAATTAATGGAATGGATAGAAAGAGTTTATTAAGGCATTTGTTTTAAAGGAATAACTTCCTTTTTATAATAGGTCCATCATCTTCACTAGTAAAGCATTATGGCTAAAACAATGATACAGGCAAAGACATTAGAATCTAATGAATGCCAGTTTTAAGTAAGATTTTCCTGTCTAAAGATTTTTAGATTACAAAAATAAAGCTTAATATATTAGAATTTTATGTGTGGTTGTATAGTTAGTTTCTTTTTCTTGCAGGTTTGTCTTTTTCCCTGCGTTTACAATCATCAGTTTTCCCCATCTACTCTAATGTGCTTTCCTGTCCTTGTTTTACCAAATGTGTTAATCAATGGAAATTAAGTTTTATTTATGGTTATCAGAGTAAATGGGACTGAATTTGTATTTTTTTTAATCTTTAAATTTAGAGGGGGTTTTTTTGCTATCTTTTACATTAAAATCCATCTAGGTCATCGGTTGTAATGTTAAGGTGCAAGATGTGGAAGTAATTTTTCTGAAGGAGAAAATGTCTCATTCTTTTTGTTTTTCTTCATGCAGGAAAATGTGTGGTAAGCTGATGCATCGCTTTGCCCCCAAGGGATCCACTGATATCACATGACGGCTTTTCATTGAGCGGTAAGTTACTTCACTCCCAGCTTGTGGTCAAAAAACTGCCTCTATAGTCACAGGAGCTACTGTTGCCCCTTGAGACGCAGCTTGGCCCTAAAAGTGGCTCTGCTGGGCATTAGGTGGGCAGAAAGTAAACTGGCTCACGATAGCTTAATTTCCACTGTTAAGTGGGCTTTGAGTATGGAACCGGGCCGGATAACCACAGCTGTTAGACCCAAAATAGTAGATGACTGTAATCAACCTGGATGCATCTTTAATGCATGCACGCTTACCTTAAATATATATATTTTTTGCCCTGTTGTAATTTTCTATTTAATTTCAAGTTAAATATAAAGCCCTCTTATGAAAGTAAAAATTAAGTTGTTTAATTATTTTCCTCTCTTAAAGGTTTTAGTTGTTGTGCAGAAGCAGAAATTAATCATTTGGTAAGAACAAAGGCCAGAGGAGGAGCAGGAAAGGTAAGAACTTTAGATTTAACTTTGTGTTTTAAACACAACATATTTGTAAATATGGGTCATTGAAAGGTTAAGGAGAGAAGTTCAAAATCTTACTTTTTCTTTTTTCTTCTGTGTCCACAGATGTGCTTCCAGCTGCATGATCGTTCTGGAGAGAGTCATTTGAAGAACAGCAGCAGAGCTTTTTTTATCAGTGGAAAGAGGTTGTTTAAAATAAATGTTTTGCATCTTGATTGTGTAACAGAAATGAAACTTAAAAATAAAACACATTTTTAACAATGTCTTTGTTTTTATTCTATCATATGCAAGCATCAAACATCAGCTACCACTTTTGAAGTATGTGTTTGTATGTGAAAGACACATTTCCTTAAAATAGGGAAAACTGTTAAAATCTAGAATATCTTTAGTGCAGATCACTAATACAGGGTTAGTTTTCAGTTTAATCTAGTTTAAAACTTGTCTTCTTGATAAAATCTTTAATATCATTTAATGCTAATGGCTTAGCCCTGGTTCAAAGTGGCCTATGAAATCAATTTTAATAGCAGCAAACATTAAACCAGCCAAAAAGCCTTGTGGTACATCCTTTTCCTTACCTGCTCAATACTTTTTCACCTTTACCCTTCCACTTCATTACATTTAACTATTCATAGGCTTTGAATTCTTTGTATGTGTGAATATATTTGGTTCTTGCTCACTTGTGGGTTGACCGATCTCAATAGAAATGTCATAAATCTATAATAAGTCCAATTTTACTCTCTAGATTTACCATTGAGATGGAGGCAGAGGGTGCTCCTATTTTATAAAACCTGTAATAGAAAGTGTTTAGGGCAGGGGTGCTCAGGTCCTGTAACTTCTAGATGCAGCTCTGAATCTAAAAGGTTATTACCCTCATTTATCAGCAGAGGCATGCTAACGAGCCCCTCGTTTGATTCCGGTGTTAAAAAATAGGGTGCATAAAAAAGCTGTAGGATAGTAGCTCTTGAGGACTGCACTTGAGCACGGGTCTCTGCTGTAGCAGATATCTCTCTTGAGGTCTTCTCTTAGGTGAAACATGTTTATGTTGGCGCTAACGGCTAGTCTGAACAGCCTACCTCATGTCCAAAGTTTCATACCAGAGAACCATATGGTTGTTCAAGCTCAGGAACAAGGGAGACTAGAATAGAATAAAATTTTATTGATCTCACAATGGAGAAATTCACTTGTGACATCGGCTCTCATACACAACAGAAGGAGTATATACAGTGGATGGTAAAAAAAAAAAAAAAAAGCAAGGGATTTAAGGTGACATACTTTTTTATTTTCTTTAGTCCAACTGTTTTTAATATTCTTTTTTGTTTCGCATTTTTATTTTCTTTTTCCTACTTCCTTTGATTCTGTTTTATTTTTTCTATATTTTAATCATGTAAAGCACTTTGCATTGTCTTTGTACTGAATTATGCCATACAAATAAATTTGCCTTGCCTTATATATAGCCTACAGTATCTCATGTACGGTAAAGTGGTGGCAGGTAAAGTGCGGTTTGTTTGACAGATAAATAGTATAACAGGGACCCATCCATATATGTAACTAAGAAGAAATGATCAAGCCTTCTGTATCATGATAAATGCTGTCTAATGTGAAGGTGGTGTATAGGAATCAAACATTTACTTGAAACACAATATCTGTATTCCTTTAATAAACCTTTATTACTTTGAAATAGTAATAATAAAACAAGAGAAGACATAGCTCCACATCTGGTCGTCTTTGGCTTGAGACACGATGTATTTTTCTCTATATACTGTAGCTTTCTGTGGTAAACAAGACAGTACTGTAAAAGGAGCAGTTTTGTGAAGAACCAGTTGAAATAAAAAAAAGAATAATTCTGTGAATTATTTTTATCATGATTGACTCTTTTTTTCTAAGTTGTGGGTTAGCGCTTTTTTAGAAAAAACATCTGCTTCCCCAAATCGAAGAGAAGAGCAGAAATGTTTACAGTGTGCAAGTTTTAATCAAAACTTCTAAACAGAACTGTTTTGTGACCGACCTGAGCTATCCTAAACAGAGGTCAGCTCAGGTGTTTGCTGAAGGTTTGGCTTTTTAAGCTTTCTGTTTTTGCCAGAAAACAATCTATGGTTTATTTTTCCACAACCTGAGCTTAGTTTTACATCTGGGACTTAAAATGTGTTAAGTGCAGTTGGCCCTGAATTATTTACACCTCTGGAAGAACTAGGTCTACCGTTATATTTTAATTCTACCAACATGTTTCATATTAAAGTTTTGAATTGGCCCAGCCAGAGTCTTGAATCTGATAAGAGGAAAAATTAAGAAATATGGTCAACAATAAGATCGTTTCATGTAATTAACTATGGTACTGTAAGTTGCACGTCTCACTTAGATTGAATAAAAAATAGTAAATTGGGAAATTTCCTATTAGGAACTAATGATATCTTTTAGGGATATAAATAGTTTTAGTCCAAACTCTTCAGGTTGTGAAGTTACATTAATAAAGTTTTATTACAGGTCATCATCCTGCCTTTATTTTATCAAATAATAGCAACTTTTTTGCATTTTTTCTGTCCTTTCCTTGGCATTATTTTCGGCGTTATTTTAATACATTCAAAACAAGAACTTTGGGAGAAGGTTGAATCATAGCTGGAATTCATGTCTCATAATTTTGGACTCCTAAATCAATAATATTCTGAAAACATTTAACTCTTTTCATGGATTTTTTTTGTTCTTTCTCTGTATAAAATCAAATTATTCCCTGTCTTTAAACTTGTAAATGGTACCTTTTTTTTTTTACTTCAAGATCATGCATTTTTTTTTTCAATGGATTTAAAGCTACTGGAATCTACATTGAAATATTAAAACTTTTTTTTTTTAAGTAATGCAGTTCAAAAAGTAGAACTTGATATTTGATGTGGAGAAATATTTTTCAGCATTTCTGTTCATTTAGATTATAGTTGAGAGCTAATAAAGAGCTTATTGTTGACCAAAACTATTGTTAACCTGCTGACATGGAAGTTGTTCATTCGTGCTCCAGAAGGGGCACAAGCCATAAAAAGTGAATGGCTAAAGGAGCAGACTGTTTAGATTAAGTTAGATAAAAACAGAAACCATATAAATAACAGTGATCTTATCCTTTAGAGGGGTTTTACGTAAAGTCAGAATTCTGAGAAAAAATCAGAATTCTGAGATTAAAGTCAGAATTCTGAGATTAAGCTCAGAATTCTGGAAAAAAGTCAGAATTCTGAGATTAAAGTCAGAATTCTGACTTTTTCCCCATACTACAGTGAAATAAAATTTTAAAAATCAGTTAACTTTTATTTTTTTTCAGTGGCCCTAATCCTCTTCCGTATAGTTCCTATGCTCCACTTATCTGGAACAAACTTCCAGAAAACTGTAAAAGTGCAGGAAGCCTGAGTTCCTTTAAATCAAGACTAAAAACACATTTGTTTAGGATTGCCTTCGACTGTTATAGATCATTAGTTCAACTTTTTTATTTTCTTTAGTCCAACTGTTTTTAATATTCTTTTTCGTTTTTGCATTTTTTATTTATTTATTTTCCTACTTGCTTTGATTCTGTTTTATTTTTCCTATACTTTAATCACGTAAAGTAGCCTACTTTGCATTGTCTTTGTACTGAATTGTGCTATACAAATAAATGTGCCTTGCCTTGGCATTAAAGGTTAGGAAGCTCTCCTTAAAGTGTCGGCGGACATTTAATCCAGCTGACGCCTCTCCCTTTAAAGGATCGCAGGGGCTGGGCTGGGAGACAGAGCGCACTGCCTGCATCATTGTTTCTCTATTGATGGGATGAGGAGCAGTCTGGTATCACATTAAATCAGCGTTTCTGAAAGCGAATGATGATGCTGGATATTTCCTTGTGAGGCTGAAATCCCTCCTTTTCAAGGACGCGCTCCTTTCTTTTCTCTCCATCTATAGCGAGTGATGTCTGTAGTCAGGAGGTAGATCTCATCAGAAAGCAGCCTAAAATGCCTGATCATTTGGAAGGGGACCGCCTGCCGTGGGGTGCGGTGAGGATGTGATCTTTACCGGGATTTCCGCTTTCTGGCTCCGCTGTCTCCTCTCCGCCGCTCAGGATGCCCAGAGCTCTGCGGAGACTGCTGCATGTGATGCTTTTCTGCCCGCTGTCCAAAGGCCTGCAGGTAGGGCTGCACACATAATCTGACGATGTTGCCTGTTTCAAACGATCTGGATTCAAATCACACGCAAGTCCTCCCATTAAAACAGAAGCGAATACAGGAGGAAAGAAAGGGAAAGATTGCTAGAGATTATGGTGCAGAACATCTCATCTTCATTTAATAAACTGAGCAGATTCAAACTATTATAGGTGAATTCACAATTTGTAACAATATTTACTTAGAAATAAAGCTGAGACTTGTCATTCCTGCATTAGTTAGTATAAAATGCTACATTCAATTCAGTTTATTTATATAGGTCATCTTAAGACACCAGAGGCATAGCCAGAAATTCTTTAATAAGGGTGGCCAGGCAGTAACCAATATACACTGAGGGGTGGACAAAAGTAGATAGGCACCAGAACCTCTGGGTGAATCTACACTGTTCCAACAGTAAAATTAACGAGCTAAAAATCTATATTTTCTAAATAAAGACAAACTATACTTTCCTACAGCGTTTGCTAACAAATAGATGCATATATTTAAACATCCTTCTAGATAAAAGGTATATTGGATAAAATTCTTCGAGGTTTGCCTTCTGGAGCGAACATTTTTTCCATCGTCATTACTTGCCTACTTTTATCAATATCATTCTACATTAAATTAAAAATTAAAAAGTACTTATATCTACATTGATGTATAATTTAAAGGGTTTTTATTAAAATAGTTATTTACAGTATCTATGATTTCACTGAAGACACTTAGATGACTTGCAGAGACACATTTTCTCTCTATGGCAATAACAATCTAGTTCTGAAAGAGCATGAATTCTAAACTAATCCTCTCTAATGTTGGTATATTGATGTAGATAATTAGCCACAGTGTTTTTGTTGTCAAGTAATTATTAATGTATATAAAATTAAAATGTTTTGAATATTCTACTTGAGAGAAAAAAAATGGTAGGGGTGGCCATGGCCACCCCTGGCGCCCCATCTAGCTCCGCCCATGCTTTACAGTTCACCAGATCATAAAGTCAAATTGATTCAAAGTTTTCTATCTAAGGAAAACCAGCTGATTGCATTGATACATTGACTCCAAGGCAATCCTTGTAGCATGCTTGTAGCGACAGTGGAGAGGAAAAAAATCCCTTTTAACAGGAAGAAACCTCCAGCAGAACCAGGCTCAGTGTGAGCGGCTATCTACTGAAAGGCTGGTTATTCTCCCGCAGCAGTGTGTCACAGTGAGCTTGTCGCAGGTATGACGCAGTCATTTTGGATTTATGCTCTGCACTATTTTTATTCCACGCCACAACGCAAAAGGGGAAAATTACAAACTAGCTGTCGGTCTAGATACGGCCGAGGCGGTCAGGAAATGGGGGAAGGTTCGTCAGACTATGGAGGGAAATGAGGGCGAAAAAGAGCGGGGATCCTGGTGGAAAAAGGGTCTCAGCGTTCTCGTGCACCTCGCTCTTCTAGCTGGTCCAACTTCACTAGTCGTTTTCTGCAATCGTGGTCATACAAACAAAAGAAGCCGGTAAGGTACCACACAGGAAATACACATAGTGTAGAGCGGATGTAGAATTGACCAATCAGAGGCCTCCTGTCTGCGGTACTGTTTGTGGTCACCTACAATTTTGGAAAGGTGAGGCAGAGTGTATGCGGATGGGGCGGGGGCGTCTGCGTTTACAGCAACACGCACGCAGATGACCTAGTTTTGAAGTATAAATCAGCCTTGAGGCCGACTGAGGTTCAACGAGACAGAAGCAGAGATATATTTAAATCCAGTACAACAAAGGCCTTCGGAAGTTATTTACTGAAAAGTCTTATATTTCAACATAATTATTAAGACATCTATGTGAAAACCTCACAGATTTGGTGGAGAACATATAATCTTTTGGAGAACATTAGGGGAAAATTATGTTATAAAACAAACAAGTTTTGAACAACAGAAAGAATGTAAAGATGGCCATTCGCCTGAAATTAGAGGGAGGAGAAAAGAAAATATTTATTCAGAGAACCAGCAAGGAGATAAGTGGGAGAGTTCCAGAGATTAACAGCTCAGGTGGCAAAGCATGTTGGCTGCTATCTGTACTCCACACATTTTGCAATAATTTGAGTTGCTAAAAGAAATTCAACATGGGAGCTATAAAAGTCTAGTTTGCATTTTGCCTTTGTGGGGGAAACATCAAGCATCTGGAAAAAGTGTTCTTGCTTTTAAAGCAATTTTTTATTTTTTAAATATATTGAGCAGGAAAACTAACACTTTGTATCACCCTGAACACACTGTACCCAGGTTGAAACATAGTGGTGGCAGTACCATGCAGGAAGAATGCTTTAAGTCAGTAGGGATTATGAAGCCTATCAGAACCGACTCAGGAATATGGCCAGTGTAGGATTTAATGAAATGGTTTACATCAAACCGTATTCAAGTGTTAGAGTGGACTAATCAAAGTTCACACCTGAATTTAACTGAGAAGTAAGAACTAACATTAACAGATCAGAATTGAGCTATTTGAGCTATTTTGAAGGAAAAGCTGGAAAACAGGCTTTTGTCTTGATATGAAAAGCTGGTAGTAATACCTAAAAAGCACATGCAGCCATAACTGCAGGGAAGAGTTATGGTACATATTGTTGCGTGAGGAGGAATGCAACAAATGCATAACACATTATTGGATTTTTTTATTTGTAAAACAATCCATCTATCCATTTTCTGTCACACTTATCCCAAGCGGGGTCCACAAGGGATGCTGGTGCCTCTCATCAGCTGTCTACAGGCGAAAGGTGGGGTACACCCTGGACAGGTCGCCAGTCCATCGCAGGGCAACACAGAGACAAACAACCATTCATACCTAAGGAGAATTTAGAGAAGCAAATTAACCACAGTCATGAACCCACGCAAGCTCAGGGAGAACAAGCAAACTCCATGCAGAATGACCCCGGGCCGGGAATCGACCCCAGAACTTTCTTGCTGAAAGGCAGCAGTGCTACCCACACAACACATATATAAAAAATGCAATATATAAAACAATATATAAAAAAATGCTTCCACTTCTCTTTGATGTGCAACTTTGTTTAAAATATTCAGTAATAACATGGTGGATTCTTAGATGAGTTTTGAAAATGTTTTCTTCTGCAAGGTAATGTAAAGATCAGGGAATATTACTGAATCATGTTGGCTTTGAAGCCCCTTTTGTCTTCTACAATCCATCCATCTCCTCCTACGCTCCACAGAATCGTCTGCCAGCCATCAAGGTGAAGTACCTTCTCCTAGCCTGGTTGGGCATTCTTATCATCAGCTGGATTGTCTACATGCAGTATGCCTCGTATGCCGAGCTGTGCCGCGGGCATGTGTGCCAAATGGTCATCGTAAGTGCACATACACACGTAGAAAGAAAATCATAGAATGAATCTAAAGGTATTTATGAAATGTTTACACACAGTAAACATGTCTTCTTATAAAGCAGCCACTGCAAAATGTGGAGAATGTTTCAATCAGCTGGACTGAATCAGTTTAGTCACAATGAATGAACTGATCTTTTGTTGAGCAAACAAAGAGAATGTTTACAGCATTCAGCTGATTCTAATTTTTAAAGATGTGGGATAATTAGAAAATTTGCTATCTTTGCCAAAAACACTGCAAACCAGAGAAAGGAAATGAGAAAAAGCACTTATTTTCACTTAACAAGGTTTCAAGATTTTAAAATGTAAATTAGATTAAGGGAACGTGCTGCTACCACTTCATCTGCAAGCTGGTGAAGTTTTGCAAGGAAAAATAAACACGCAAAAACATATATTTTGCTTTTCCTCAAAAACTTAAATGTTTCTGATAATCAAACTATATAAAATTTAATTTTTAAATAAACATTTAATCAACTTAGAATAAAATTGTCAGTCCAACTGCCACATACCCCCCCGTTATACTTTAACTACATGAAGTTGTCGCAACAATTTTAAAAAGCAGTGCCAAAGTAAAAGAGAGTCCAGTGCATATGGATGCAGAAGAATAAATATGATGACTAAGGATGTACCTGTACCAAGAACAGCTGAACGTCTCACTGCACCCATCCCCCTTTCAACATATTGTATGACACAGAGGCCTTCATAAATGATTTAGAGCCATGCCTAAATGGAATGGAGGTATAATTTTCTTTTTAACTTTTCTCAAATATAAGATTTAAGCTTTAGAGAAATAACTCTATTTACTTATATTTCTCAAGTAAAAAAAAACAGGGTAAGAGTTTTTATTCGTTTTTAACTGATGTAGCCTATTTTGAAGTGTTGCTTTTATCATCGTGAACTTGGATTGTCTGCTGCAGCTGCAGTGAGGGGAAACACAGCTCTGAAAACAACACATTTTTTTTCGTTTCAGTATTATTCAGGTTTTATTTAGGGAGGTTTCACCTTCAATAAACCAGCCTGACCTTGTTCACACTCCATCTGTTTGTGTGAGAACTCGGATGTGTCATGTGACCCCCACCCCCCTGTCCACCAGCTCGGGGAATTTCCAACACATGCCAATGAATATAACCATTAGAGGAGAAAAGTGATGTGTTTTTCTTTGCGCTTATGTTCTTTTGGTGAATAGAAAAAATGTCCTTGATAGATTCTAGATGCTGTAAGTTGGAGCACATAATTGTTGCACACATATACACCATTTTGGTTCACTCTCATGGTCACAGTGCAACATCCAATCCTTACTTCTTTGGGGTATAGATGCAGTGGTGTAGAGCACACATTCAGGAGACTCTAGAGACATGTTGGTTGGAGCAAGAAGTCAGGGTAATACAAATAAAACACAGTTGGAAAAAGACTGCTTGATTGCATTATGTAAGGTTTAAAGTCTAATATGCTTTGGGGCTTTTTGCATTTGGATTTGGCCCGTTATGTCCAAATAAAGTAAACTCTTCTAGCTCCATTAGTTTTAGGATATTTTGGACATTTTAAAGCTCCCAACTTTGGGCAGATCACTCCTTCATTTTCTAGGTGACCTTTGCACTAAGCAAGGACAGTAGACTTGGGCTGAATCCCAAACCAGACCCTGAGCACTATCCCTATGTTTGCACGTTGGTACAGAGGGTTCGTCCAATGAAGGGCCATCCCAAACCACGTAGTGGTAGAGCGTGTGGACCATTCAACCCTTAAAAAGTGAGTCGGCATCAGTGCAGGCTCGTTGCATTTTGGCAGTGGGTGTAACAGTGTACTAGTGGTGGAGGAAACAAATGTAGTTCCACTGGTTTGCTGTATCTTTATCACCCTGACAGAAAATCACAAGTTAGGAAAAATAAAAAAAGACACCATTAATGCCTAAATGGAAGGTCCTCTTTGAAATAGTTTTACTTGACTGGATAGATCTATTTTTAAGAAAATTACAATTTTGGTTTGATGTTAATTTTATGTGCGCCACGGAGCTGCAGCCACACATGTGGTGTCAATACTGTCTCACTTCCAGCTCATCACATATTGACACTTGGTCAAGTCCAATGTGTGTCAGATACTGACGCGACGGGGATACCCCCCTTTTTAGAAATGTACCCATGGGGTTAATCACAGTTTGTAGCATGAACTTCCAAAAATGGTTCCATGAGCTGTTAAGTAAAAACCTACCACTAACCCATCCCTTACCCTACACCTAACCCCTAAACCTAAAGAAACACTAGTATACATGTTACCATACACTTCTAAAGCTGCCAAAGTAACTATAGGCTAAACTTAAAATTTTTTTTGCGACGTGATACACTGTCCGCAACGTGTCTTTACCCTGCACGTCATACACTGATGCAGGGGTTATGTTGTGAATTGGGAGGGAGAGTGTGTTGGCGGCGTCATTATTTTGCCATAGGCACGACTGCTTTCCCTATCCCGTTAGAGCAGGGGTCTGCAACCTTTCATATTCAAAGAGCCGTTTTGACCAGAGTTCGACCACGTAAAAGTTGTGTAGAGCCGCAAAATATAACATGACTTTTACTAGAAAACCTTTTTTTCTTTTAATCTTATATAGGAAATTAGTTGTTGCCATCTCAATCAAAAATTCANAAAAAAGACACCATTAATGCCTAAATGGAAGGTCCTCTTTGAAATAGTTTTACTTGACTGGATAGATCTATTTTTAAGAAAATTACAATTTTGGTTTGATGTTAATTTTATGTGCGCCACGGAGCTGCAGCCACACATGTGGTGTCAATACTGTCTCACTTCCAGCTCATCACATATTGACACTTGGTCAAGTCCAATGTGTGTCAGATACTGACGCGACGGGGATACCCCCCTTTTTAGAAATGTACCCGTGGGGTTAATCACAGTTTGTAGCATGAACTTCCAAAAATGGTTCCATGAGCTGTTAAGTAAAAACCTACCACTAACCCATCCCTTACCCTAACCCTAACCCCTAAACCTAAAGAAACACTAGTATACATGTTAACATACACTTCTAAAGCTGCCAAAGTAACTATAGGCTGAACTTAAATTTTTTTTTGCGACGTGATACACTGTCTGCAACCTGTCTTTACCCTGCACGTCACACACTGATGCAGGGGTTATGTTGTGAATTGGGAGGGAGAGTGTGTTGGCGGCGTCATTGTTTTGCCATAGGCACGACTGCTGTCCCTATCCCGTTAGAGGGAAGAGGCCGTCCCATCCACGTTTATACCCTCCCACATACAAATAGGCGCCCTTCACAGCTGTGAGTGGGCCTTTATTGCAAGTGACATTTGAGAGTTAAGCGTCAGTTTGGGGTTCAGCCTTGGTGTGCAAGTCTGGTGTGGTAGAACCAAACCTAAACCCAGTTACATACATAAATATATATTTTCTTATATATATAAAAATGTATGTATAAAAGGTGGTGTATGGTTGCGCTTCTACCTGTTTATGCAGTGGAAGTTCTCCTTTATTATGCCAGTGACTTTGCAGCAGTTCCTTATACCAAACATCCATGTTGCAAAAATGGGGAGAGACAGCAAGTGCAAATCGTGGCAGCGCTACCTAACTGTGGAATGTGTGGTGGCACCCCTAGATACCGCAGCTAGGTGCGTAGCAGATGCCACTGCTCTGTGGAGATGCCACAGAACATGCTGTCGTGTTAACATATTAAATGTAGGAAAACTTTATTCAACCTTTGTTCTGCTCTCCTATTGCTGAATGGTTAGCACTATGTTAGTGCAGATTTGCACAGTGAAAATTATCATTTGTGCTACTTTTGTTGAAGAGATAGTAAAGATATTTTTTTTAGGTCATCCAGAGGTCACCATCCCCCTATCAAGGTCCAAATTGAAGTGGTCTACTGATTTAGTGCTTCTGACTTAGTTTTTAAGATATAATGAATTATGAAATATGGCTTTTTACAAGACCACATGGCACATTACATTTCCAGTTCTTGTGGCCATTTAATAGGACTTGCCGGCTAAAGTAAGCATAAACAACAATGGGGAGAAGACCAAGCCCTGGATTTCTTATTACTAGTGGAAAAGCACAGTTAAAACTAAAGAAAATGGAGTGAATTAACCAACTGGATCTCTATGAATACAGAGCGTTGACTACGGGCCAATATGCGTACTTTGTGTGTGTTTTTGTGTGCACACGAAACATCATCAGCCTCAGCCCTAGCACTATTCCAATTCACAAGAACACAAGACCGAAAACGGACAAAATCCCTAAATGTTGTTCTCATTTCTCTCTCTTTATCCAGCATGCATCAAGGCAGACTTGAGCATTCTCCAGACTAACAGCTGTCCCAGCATGCACCACGGCAGCAACGGCTCCCAGGGACGCTCTCACAGAGCTCTTAAGTTATTTTAGCTCTTAAGCTATTAAGTTAAAAGTTCACCTTTCTGTTGCCGTTGCTCCACAAAAGTACATTTTAAGATAATTTGAGAAGAGAACATTATACATAATATATATATATATATATATATATATAAAAAAAAGTTGTGATGTTGAGAGGCTTGTACTACCAGAGATGCCACAGCTAGGTGCCGATGCTACGTTTTGCCCCTGCTGAAAGTGGAAAGGAAAACTCCTCTCTAACGAAAAAAAACTCCGGCAGAAACTGGCTTTCTGCCATGACCTACTGGAGGTTTGAACAGACATAGAAAATACACAAAATTAACACAGTTGTACTGATCAGGATTGCCTTCTTTGTTTTATACCAAACATCCATGGGGAGAAAATAGGTAAGTTGCAATAGTAGCTTCTGAAGAAGCTTCATCTACCTAGGAGAGAAGCACAGCTTAGGTGGCCCCTGGGCAAGATTTTTTAAACCTAGACGAAAAATAGCACATACAGCAATGTCTATCAGAGATACATGGCTAACCCCTGTGAGACAGGACCAAATGGATCGTCTGTAGAAGGAGAACATAAAAAGCAGCAGCAGCAGGAGCCCGGCCGATGCTACTTAACCATAGATCCACCATAATGGGAGAATTTTACCAATCAGGTCAAAATTTATTTAACAAAATCTAAGCAAAAAAGTTAAAGGACCATGTTTAGCTTTATTATTCTGTTTTTTAGCTAACTTAGAATAAAGCCAAACTTTAGGTTTTAAACAAATGGCCTTACATTTACAATCTAGTGTAAAAATAAAATACAATACATTTAAAATCAAGTTGTTGTTTTTTTTTTTGGAAATTCTGTATATTTAAATAAACTTGGTTTTGTAATTTAAACTCTTTAGTTGTTCTATTATCCTTTATGTGTGGTGTATTATGATTTGGTTTATTGTACAACATATTATGAGGAAGCTATCCATACACTTAATTCAATGTCATTATTAGTTACTAAATTCACACAATTTAACTTCATCTCATCAAAATTTTTAGCATTATAGGGTCCATTGTGAATAATAAATATAATTCAATGGTCTGTATATTAACTTCTTTCATATATTAGATGCCCTGAACTATAAAGCACAGTTCATCTTCTTGCCTTTTCCACTTCCTTACCATTGATTCATTAATATCAAATTCTCTCAATGCTGCTTTATTTCCATGTTCTAATGCCCGACTGATATCCTTGAGTTGGAAGTCTGTGTCATAATCATGCAATTTTTGGGGCTTCCTATACTTACACTGTATTATAGTGAAGCACGGTATGTATTAATCTGTCATGCTCCTGACTACTGTAGCCGTAATGCTGCAATCACTGTGGCTTTGTCATTTACCAAAGTCATAGCCTACCAAAACATTTTGACAGAGCACTGTGTGAATCATAAAAATCTCTTCAAGGTCAGTTTGAAAACAAATAAGTTTTAGTCTGGCTGGGAATCAGTGACCTGTGGGAAACAAAATGCGAAGTGAGGTAGACATGAACAGGAAGTAAAAGCACTTAATAGAGGATGTAGCACAATGAAATGTAATTGTTTCTAAGAAACAATCCTTGCAAAGGTTAAGCAGGTGTTTTGCAGAAATTTAAACCTACTTGTGGTTTCTAAGGGTATATATGTTTGCTTGTTTCCTGTAATTTAATGCATTTTCATGGTTGTGTTTGCAGTGTGATCACTACAGAAGGGGCATCATTTCAGGCTCATCATGTAAGGCTTTGTGTGATCAGAAAACCTTGACTCTGCACCGCTGCATGTCCACTTCCTCAACCCATCAGGTAAAACACAGCAAACATGTGATTGTAAACTTTTAAAAATTATATGAAGTAATTTATGTATGCTTATATTTTAGTAAATGTCAAATATCATGTCAACAGAAAGAAACTAAATGCAAAGCTAATTAATGAGTAATGTCAACACTATAACAAACTGTGATTTTTTTTTGTCCTGCACAAAAAAACCTTATGTAAAAGCATAATTCCGCGTCTAGACAAATTTAAAAAAAAGTCTCCAGTGGGTAGTCACGAGACAAGTGTGGGGTTTAGCGAAGTGAGTTCACTAGGGTTGTGGTCAGGATAGGGGAAAGTGACAGTGGTTTTAACAGACTAAATAATAGATGCTTTCAGGTTGCGTTCCATCTATGCTCAGATGTCTAAATACCACTTAAAACTGTTTTTTTAGTCCATGTGATGCCTGTAACTGTGAACAATGGAGAGTATGACCACTGAAAGTACAGCGTCATTAATTCTAGAAACATGTCAGTACAAATTCCTAGTTCCATACCCTATAATTTCAATCCACAGAGGGCAGGACAATGTTTTACAGGCCTTTTTCATAAAGCAGCAATGTACCTCTTTAAAAGTTAAACATGAAGAGGTGATAAATTAATGGCAAAGAAATTCCATTTTCATCACCAGTCATTTTCAAGAATGATTTACTTTAAACAGCAGTATTAAATAAGTGATTATTTCATTTTAACAGGTTTTAATACTGACATAAATGATGGAGTATTAGGGGCAGGCTAAAGGGAATAGCTTTTTTGATAGACTGTAATTTTATTAAAATAAAGTAGTAAAATTAAAAGAATAAAGTCATTATATTACAACGAAAAGTTGTAATATTACGAGGCTAAAGTTGTAATATAACAAGAATAAATTCATAATGTTGCTAGATTAATGTCATAATATTATGAGGTCAAAAACAGGTTATTCTCTTAACTCGTTAAACAGTCGGGCTTAAGCAGTAGTAACCATGTTAAATGTTAGTAATTTTCTAAGAAACATATCTTTGAAATATAATAGCCAGCATTTTAGATATATATGTGGACTTAAAGTTAATAGGATTTTTACTGAACCTGGTCAAGTTAGAATAGAATAGAATGGAATGGAATTCAATAGAATAGAAAATCCATTTATTGTCCCACAATGGGGAAATTCTTGTGTTTACAGCAGCAAAAAGATTATAGAAAAAATGGTCACACGAATGTGGACCTTAGAAAAATATAAAAGAATAACATGATAAAGTAATAACATAAGAAAAACCTAAGCTACTGTCTAAAATGTTCTGCATGTTTCTAGGTCTACATTGGACTATGGAAAGATAGGCCAGTGGTGATCAAATGTGGCATTGAGGATCCAGTGAACATAGATGGAGTCCCAGACACCCTGCCAAGGCCAGAAATGAGTTTATTTGACAAACCGACTCGTGGAACCTCAATGGATGAATTTAAAGAGATGTTGCACAGTTTTCTTAAGGTATTCAGATTATTTACCATATATGGAAAACCACTTCTGCGACAATTGTACGGACCCAGTATAGTGTCTGGATCACTATTTGTGACACTATTAATCTCTTTTCTTTAGGTCAATCTCGGGGAACAGCCAACTTTAAGCGCCTTGGTGGACAGGTTCATCACTCTTGCCGACGTCAACCAGGATAACAAAGTGTCTCTTGCAGAGGCCAAGTCCATTTGGGCTTTGCTTCATATTAACGAGTTCCTCCTGATGGTGGCGCTGCAGGAGAAGGAGCACACACCAAAACTGCTAGGCTTTTGTGGAGACTTGTATGTAACAGAACGAGTGACCCATAGCTCCCTTTACAGGCTGGAGGTCCCTCACTACCTTAAAGCAGTCGTCCCCGAGGCCCTTAGCTCTAGTCTTAACCACTGGCTGGCGCCATCCTGGCCCCGAAGGGCGCGCATCACCATCGGCCTGCTAGAGTTTGTGGAGGAAGTCTTTCACGGATCATATGGGAGTTTCCTTATCTGTGATGCAAGCCCTTACCACGTAGGTTACAATGCTAAGTACGACTGCAAGATGGCCAGCCTGTACAGCGTGGCATCAGATGCCATGGTGCGTTCTTTTTTAAAGGGTCGACGGTGTGAGAACAATGCCGACTGCACTTATGGCAGAGACTGCACGGCCACGTGTGACCGACTGATGAAGCAGTGCAATACTGAGGTTGTTCAGCCTAATCTTGCAAAAGTGTGCATGCTGCTGCAGGATTACCTGCTGTTTGGAGCTCCCTCAGACCTGCGGGGGGATCTGGAGAAGCAGCTACGCACCTGTGTGACACTCAGTGGTTTAGCAAGCCAGATGGAAGTTCATCACTCATTGGTTCTTAACAACCTGAAGACATTGCTGTGGAAGAAAATTTCCAACACACAGTACTCCTGAACATAAACTTAGCCAACAAGTTCCCTGTCTTATGTGTAAACCATAAAAAAATAAAATTAAAAAAACAGCTTTTTTTTTTGGCTTCTGAAGTTTTGCCAAATGGTATAACCAATTTGCTCATTTGTGTTATTATCATCCGAGATGCAGTTCTGTGAAAAAGTATTTACCCTCTAAAGAATTTCCTATTTTATCTTGTTTTGTCATCCTCTTGACATTTGAAATGTTTATTTTTTTATGGCAGGCAAACACATCAATCGTCTAAGGAAGTTAACGAGGTTGTTTTTAATTTTTATGAGTCTCCAATGAACCTCGCTGATAGAAATTAACCACAAATGGATAAAACCTGAGAGAGTGGTATTCCTTTCAGGGGTGAAACATTCCTCACCTTCATGACGACATCGAGAATTTACAAACAAGATAACAAAATAATATAAAACTATTTAAAGCAATGTAGGCCTTATTTGCCTCAGTTTTGTCAGGGTTGATGATTTACCAATCAGAAGAGATGAGGGTAATCGCTTCATGGAAAATTTTAAAGGTAAATCATTGTTGATAAAAAGAACCAGGCCCATATTACACTTGCTAAAAGTATCTAGACGTTCCTTAAGACTGCCACAATAACATAAATCTCCAGTAGAAAATCAGTACACTGACAGTCAAACATGATGTTGTGATTGTCTGTGCTTTACTGCTACTGAACTTGCTCTACATATTGTAAATGATAATCCTAAATGAGTATGTCTGATCAACAGCTTAAGCTCTTGTAGATATATATATATATTTTTTTTTTATCTAAAAGGCACATGGAAGCCGACCTCTAAGTGATTAAAGCAAAAAAGGGGCAAATAAGCTTTTAAAGGGGTCTATAAAAGTCAGGACCTTAAATATGTTCATAAATATACCAATGAATTTGAACAACTTTGCAGAGAATGGCTCCAGGTTCTTCATGCAAACAAAGGGCTCCTTGTGAGTTACATTAAACATTTCATGGCAGCGTTTGCCACCGAAGGTGGCACACACCCAGTTGTTAGGCTTAGGAAGTAAGTACTTTTATATGCTGTCTCTATGGAAACTGTGAACTGACATTTATAACCTCAATCAAGAGAATCAGCAAGCCCAAATTTCTCATGACATCAGTTATTTTAAAGTCATTGGTTTGCCAGACATTCATTTGCACATATATACTCAGGACAATGCCTGTAACTTCATCTGTTCCATTAAAGTAGTTTTGAAAGTAAACCAGCTTGTATTTATTTGTCTTGGTTTTGTTTTAATTTTGTTTGTGCATGACTGAAATTGTGGCTTTAGTCAAAAAGTTTCTTTTCTGTACATTAAATTGATTTCAGCAGATTGGAAAAGTGCAGCTGTCAGGAAATATGAGCAAAATCATTTGCAAATAAATTCATGTTTGGTTCAATAAACATATTTCCTCTATTTTTCCAAAACAAAAATACATGAGGCAGTAAGGACTGGTAAAATAATAAACAAGTTTAACATTTTATTAATATGCATACATGATAACTATTTTTTTCATTGAAAAGTACATTTATCCGTGTGGCAGACATCTGAATTGTCACTAGTTTCTTTGTCCGTTGTGAAATTTGAGCTTTTATTTTAAACATCACAGGTGCAGCTGAATAAATTAGAAAAAGAAATAATGTTACCTAACTCAATTTATTACATGAAAAAGATTTATTAGGATATAGTTTAATAACTTATCCCTGCCAATTTGGATTATTATGGCTTTTAGCTGGTGATGTAATGATAACTCAACATTTTGAGCTGATCTTCAGAGATTCCAAATAAGGAATGTGAAATTGCCTGTACAAAATAATTTTAAACAGCAGCTGCAATAAGTGGATATGTTGCAATCAATCTACAAAATAACCCCAACCTATTTAAATAAGGAAGCTGCATATGCTATTGGCTGTTTGAGAAAGATGAAGTCTTAAGCCCTGGAGTTGGAGGCATAATTGTAGAAAAGGTTAAATAATAATGACAAAAAGAATATCATTTCTTAATGCACATGAGTAGACCCATCTAAAAAAAGCTAAAAATAATAAAAGTTGAAAGCTGAAAAGCTCCTCAACCCAACCTCCCCCAGTAAGATTAAAAATGAGATTAAGCTCCAAACAGCTGCATTCACCTCAGCCAACTCCTGTCTTGTGCTTGCTTGGTCTATTGCAATTTTATTCAAAATAACTCTTTGTGTGTAGCTTGAAAAAGGAAAATTGAAGTAGAATAAAACAACCTCTTCCCAAAGCTAGGGATCCCATCGCCCCACCACTGCTTTGTACTTTTACAGGCATTGTGATGGATGTAATTATTTAGCTGTAAATATTAATTTTTTTTGTTTCTTTTTTTAATAAACATGCTACTATTTCAATTCCATCCTGTTTCATTGAGTTAGTTTTAGCATCGATCTGTGCTGGCATGTGCAAACATCTTTCCCCCAATTCTAAAATTCTACCATAAATGAGCTCACATGCACACAGACTATCTAACCATACATTTTTGCATTCAAGTTTGCAGCTGAGTTAGAGACCTGATTTGTAGGTTACATTAAATAAATAATTTAGCATATGCCCCTCCAAGTATTGGCACATTTATCAAGGCAAAAATAAATAAATAAATAAATAAAAAGTTTATGCATTGCTCTTCAGACATTTTCAACACATTTGTTTTGCACTTTTCTGATAGATCCTATGGTATCAAGTTTGCACGTTTTTATACACAAAAACATTTTTTAGATCAGGTCCTTAGTTTCTTAAACAATGCTCTAGTCAGTATTATCACTTTTAAAGAACATTTTTAGTACATTTAAAAAAAAAATTAGGTTGATATACACTATGTACTCAAACTACGCACAACAACACAATTTAGATCTTGGTTTACATGTAGCTGGTGTTATCGTGGTTATTAGAATACGTTTATACTCTTTGTAAAAATACCTAATCTTATTGGAAAATGTAAATGTCATTTTAACAAAACTTGTAACTAAAGGAAACATTAGGTGCTGTAAAATAATCTTTAAGACTTTGGATTTGATAAAGCAGTGGACCAACACCCACAGATTATGCATTTCTATTCTTATTGTAAACTCTGATATCCATATAAAAAGTAAAATTGACATTCAAATGAAAAGAAAATGGTGGACTTTTAAGTAACGCTCCAGTCATAATTTCTTTTAACCTGGAGAGACACACAGGGGGGCAATTAGAGAGTTAATTGATATGAATTGATAAAAAAGATGCTGGCAGGAGACACATAGCTGAGTTATCAGGGATATTAATAGAATAGGCAGAATAAATGTCGTCAGTCACTGCCCTGTTTATTCTTCATTATTATTACTACCCCAACTTAACTGCAATACCGAAATAAATTTAAAATTTAGTTTATTGCATTTTGTTTTGCATGAACTTAGGAATATACTATAAAACATAGCAAGAAAGTTAACAGTTGTAGCTCCTGTCTTTGATTCACCTGTATGACTACCAGTTTCTATTAGGTGTAAGTCACAATCACAAACATTACAAATGCTTTTAATATCTCTTTTCTGTCTGTAATAAGTCTATTAGTTTCATTTCCTAAGTTTATACACTGAAATTACTGAAATGAAATACCTTTTGTGGTAGAAATTATTTATTGCGTGACTGGGGATAATAAATAACATCACAGATCAGATGGAATGTGAGATTTTCCAAAACTAAAGAAATCCAAGTTTTTTCATCTGAACCTTTAGAGATAGAAATAAGTACAAACTTAAGATGCTAAAACATACCACTAGATGTCGCCATATGTGACAATATCAATGTCTTTAGAAGATTTAGCAAATTTTATACAATGAAAATTGTCAAACATCAGCAATGGTTACGGGTCCCTTGTTGCCCTGTTATGGACCGGCAACCTATTTAGAGTTTGCCTCTTAACCCTAAACTTATAGGAACCAGTCATTTGCAGCCCTATAAGTATCAGTTATTATTAATATATCTTTTTTATTTTGGATGAGTTTTTTGTTTTTCCATGAAGAAAAAGACAAGCAACGTCAAACCCAACATTTAAAGAGATTGCCATGTGGAAAGGAAGTGCTAAATAGAATCTTGCAGATGTATAACAAGTCACTAGATGGTGCTGTTTGACTTAATCAAAACGATCACAATTGTGTTATTCAAATTTTGGTTAAGGCATGTGTTAAGATAATTGCAATGATTTTTTTTAAATAATGTATTAGATTAAGCTGAAGCATCTTAAAATTAATCCAATTAGGGCAAAGAAGAATTGTATTGCCTTATTTATTAAAGTATGAAGGAGAGATTGGGGATGGTTGCAACACTTCTTAGGAACAATTTCAACATGTCATAAATTCATTTAATTTTACAAATCAGCTTTTGTTTACTGTCTCAATGTGAGTATTATTCTGATAATTTGTATTGTTCATAAAACTTATCAACTAGACTCCAAACTTGAAGATTCACCTAACACCTGCCCTCAACTGACCCACACTCCAATGAGGCATGTGACCGAAACCACTACGACGAGGGAGTTACCAACCCATCAGAACCCCCTAATGACCATTAACACCTCCCATGTGACCTCCTCTGCCCCCCCTAATTCTTTGTTACACCTACAGTACATTAATCTCAGTGCTCCCCACTACTAGTTAGAATTGAAAAAGCCTCTTGGATAAGAGGCGAAATGTAGTCTGGAAAACTTCACGTTCAGTTGCCTAGACTGAACTTTTTCAAGCTGTATCAATAAGGCAGTTTTCTGATTCTCTTGACACATATCTGTACCTTCCAATCTCTCATCAACAGATTAAGCACTAAAACTATCCCTCCCTAATATAGATGCTTTTGATTTAGGTTACTGGAGGACAGTAGGAATCATTTTCCTCACTCTGTCATTTTCTGCTACTACTCTCTATATAGTCATTTAATTGAATTCAGTTTATTTATATAGTGCCAATTCACAGTACATGTCATCTTAAGGCACTTTACAATTCAACTAGATCTAATTGATTCAAAGTTTTCTATCTAAGGAAAACCAGTTGATTGCATCGACTAATTGGCTCAAAGGCAATCCCTCAAATAAAGCATGCTTGTAGCGACAGTGGAGAGCTAAAACTCCCTTTTAACACCTCCAGCAGAACCAGGCTAAGTGTGATTGGCCATCTGCCTACAGAGGCCAATTGGGGTTCAAGGAGACAGAAGCAGAGATACAAAAGGCAACTGTCAACCAGCTCCTCAGGCGGCCGCGTCCAGGAAACACACAGTCAGGCAGACAGACTCCGAGACAACCCTTACGTCAGATGACGAAGAGAGCACAGCCTAACCTGACTCCGCCAGATGGATTTGCACCGCATGTCCATCTGGAAACCTTCCCTTGAAGTAATTTTGGGAAGGGGCGAAAATACTGGTTAGCTGATTAGCCTATGTTGGTGATAGACGGGCCAAATAAACCAATCAGATCAACGAAGCATATGACGTACTAACAGAGCGACGACGAAAACACAACCACAAGCCAGGCACAAGCCAATTTATAGATCAAACTCTTGCCGAAACCAGTCGGGAGAAGAGCAAAAACATCTTTTCCTCTGAGAAAAGCCTCCAGAGCAGTGTTTTGCTCTTCTTTCAGCGAAGAAATACTCTGTAATTCTGATAAAACTTGCTCGATAGCCACGCTAACGCTAGTTTCATCGGCTGAAGCCGCCATGTTCTTTAGACTGAATTGTTGCGCTTCTCGTTGCATCACACCTCAACCCGCCTGAAAGCCAACGCTGATTGGACGTTCGTTTGGTGGATTGCTCCAGATTTTCTTTAACGGAGAGTAGCCAGACTGATCTGCGAGTGAAACCTTGAAAGCTCGCGAGATCAGGATGGTCTCACGAGGCTAAGCACAGCCAGCCAGTCACAATCAAAACAAGGACTATTCTAAAAAACTGGCCAAGTTTGAACAACTATAAGTAAGGTGTTGATGGCAGCAGCACAGCTGATATTTCTCTCCAGGATGGTGCCACAGCCAAAGAACGAAGCAAATGAAGCCACTATGATGAGAAAAAAAGCAGAGAGAGCATAACGTTATAGATTGAACTAACAAATTCCACAGAGTGGGAGAATAGAGATAGAATGAAGCAGAATGATGAAATCGGGGTCCTATGTCCTCCAGCAGTCTATGCTTATAGCAGCATAACTATAAAGATAGCTCTGGATAACCTGAATGTATCAAAAGGAAACGTTTTAAGACCCTTAAAAGTAGACAGGGTGTCTGCCTCACAGGTAGTTGGTTCCACAGCAGAGGAGCCTGATAACTAAAAGATCTGCCTCCCATTCTACTTTTAGAAATTCTAGGAACTACTAGTAAACCTGCAGATTGAGAGCAAAGTGCTCTGTTAGGAACATGAGGAACAAGATATCTGATATAAGATGGAACTTGGCTATTTAAAGGTTTTTATATGAGAAGGAGGATTTCAAATTACATTCCAGATTTAACAGGATGCCAATGAAGAGAAGCTAGGATAGGAGAAATATGATCTCTCTTTTTAATTTTCATCAGAACTCTGGTTTGAAGTAATAAATGCATGGACTAGCTTCTCAGCATCATCCCTGGACAGAATATTTCTATTTTTTTGCAATATTCTGGAAATGAAAGAAGGGAATTCTAGAAACATCTTTGATATGGGATTTAAATGACAAATTCTGATCAAAAATAGCACCAAGACTTTTTACTTTATTATCTGAGATCAATTGAATCCCATCTAAATGAAGAGACTGATTTATCAGCTTCTTTTTCAAAGACTCTGGTCCAAAGACTATAACTGCTGTTTTATGTTTTGGATGTTTCTGAGCTTCAGCACACCTGATTCAGATGTTTGCAGTTCAGCAAAGCCTGTTAATCTGCTATCAATTGATAACAGGTGTGTGGAAGCTGGGAAACATCTAAAACATGCAGGGCAGTGAGCCTTGAGGACCAGGGTTGAAAAACACTTAGCTAACTTATTGGTGCCATAGGCGTTGTTCTTTCCTATTAGATGATACAGCAGATCAAAGTCTTCAGTTTTCAATCTAGTATCATTTCTAGACCTACACCTGCCACTACATATAACAACTGTACTTTCCTCCAACAGATCATAACGCTAGCCTAACATGTTCAATTAGGACCTATTTCTGCCTATTTTCCTTAAGTACACATTGATGTGTTTGATTTCTATCTATTTTATGCCCCTACTATTTGTGGCAAATAGATGCTCAATTGAACCTACCTGAGCCCATAATTCTGTTATTTTATTTTTTTATTTCGGTTTGACGAAATTATATAATCCTAAATTGTATATTTTATCTATCTATCTATCTATCTATCTATCTATCTATCTATCTATCTATCTATCTATCTATCTATCTATCTATCTATCTATCTATCT